TTCACCCTCTGCCCCAGACTAACTGGCTTGCTTGAGTTATCAGGATAATTATAAAAACAGCATAAACCATTGGGTGCTCACCAGGGGCTGCACAAGTGTCTCTCTTCCTCCTTACATCCACCTGAGATGGAGAAATTATTCATTCATCAGAAACTGATTTGTCCAAAACCAGGCGTCGATAGCTCCAAGACCCATGCTCTTTGCCACCAGGCTCTAGGACACTGACTAACTGCCCGGTGTGGACCACCTTCTGTGTCCTCCCCCAGCCCTCCCCAGGCTGATTCCTTCCTGTCTGAGTGCAAGGCTCGGCCCTCTGGAAAGCCAAGGTGGAACTCTGGCCCCCGGGCTGGCTTGGGTGTCTCAGAATTTTATTTACCATACTCCTTTGAAGTGAATATCCCAGCATTTGTATGATGCATCCTGGGCTTAATATTATCTCTTTAGGAAGACAAAACTCGCACCATAGGAAATGTACACATCTTCAAGCCTATCTCACACTGTACACACACACACACACACATACACACACACACACACCAAAAACGCCCATGCAAACAACTAAGTCAATCTCTGGGAGCCTGTCTGCCTTGGTCCAATTCCCAGTGTTACTAGGCCAAGCCTCTGCAGGAATTTTATCCCATTTGGATACCCCCGATGCCTGATACATGAATGAAACTTGAGGGGGTAAATAATGAATAGCAAGAAAAACAGCTAACCTTTTTTGAGAACTTACAAAACACCAGCCATCGAGCTAGGTATTTGGCACGGGTTATCTTATTTTAATTGCTCACAATAGAAACTATGAGATAGGTAGTTTTCTTATCTACAGTTTATTGATGTGGAAACAAAAAATCAGAGAGGTTAAGCTAGTCACTTAAAGACCCACATCTACAGTGATATAGGACTGAGATTTTAAACTAGTTTGGCTGATGTCAGAGTTTGAGGTCTTAACCTTGGGCTGCATTTCCAGAGAATGAAGACTCTTTTCTGCTCCTCAGAAATGCTGTTCAGTCCCCCACCTCCCTCCTTCCTACCGCATCCCAGGCCAAATACACCAAGATCATTGTCATACTGCTTTCTTTTGTCAGTATCTCTCTTTAAAAAAAATCACATAAAAATTCAACAGCAATTCAAGCATCGCTTGTCTATTATGGAAAACAGTAGGATTAGTACCTCCTTTGATATGGATGCCACGATTTCAACCTATTCAACAGCTGAGGCATACTGTCATATTCAGTGAACATGTCGCCCACCTTAGCTTCTAGATCTTTCTCACAAAAACTAAGCCAGGTTGCACAAGTCTGGCATCTCTTCCACTTCTCTCAGCTGAAGACTTTATCATTTGTGAGATATATCCTTGACTTAGTATCATCTTTTCAGGAAGACAAATAAAAACTCACATTGTAAATGTACACAGCATTAATCCCTACTTCATGCCATATAGAAAAATAAACTCAAAGTGGATGATAGACCTAAATGTAAGATTATAATGCTTCCAGAAGAAAACAAGTCAGAAAATCTTTGGGATCTTGAGTTAGACAAATATTTCTTAAATACAACATCAAAAACACAACACATGAGAGAAAAAACGATAAATTGGACTTCACCAAAATAAAAAAAAAACTATTCTTAAAAAGACACTGTTAAGTAAACAGAAAGACAAGCCCCAGACTAGGGGACAATGTTTGCAAAACACATATCAGATAAAGGACTTGCCCAGAATACGTAAAAAAGAAAATTCAAGAAAAAGAAAATAGTGCAATTTAAAAAATTTGACCAAATACTTTGCCAAGGAAGTTATATGGTCAAATCGTCATATCGAAAGATATTCATCATCGTTTGTCATTAGGGAAATGCACATTTAAACCACCATAAGATACCAATATGCCTATATTAGAATTTCTACTAAATGCTGACAGTACCAGGATAGGGGACACACATGCATTGCTGTGCGAACTGATAAAACAACTTTGGAAAACACTTAGACAGCTTCCTAAAATGTTAAACATACACTTACCATATGACCCAGAAATCTTACTCCTAACTATTTACCCACGAGAAATGAACACTTATGTCCACACAAAAACCTGGACATGAATGTTTATAATGGCTTTATTCATAATAGCCCCAACTGAAAACAACACAAATATCCTTTAAATGATGACTAGGTAAACATGCTCTGGGGCATCCCTGCCATGGGTACCACTCAGCTGGAGAAAGGAACTGACGACTAACACTAGTGACGAAGAGGATTCATTTCAAAGGCATTCAAGGAGCAGAAGAAGCCAGGCACAGAAAGGCTACACAGATCTAATTCCATCTCTGTGATATTCTGGTAAAGGCAAAACTCTAAGGATAGAGAACAGATCAGTGACGCCAGGGGCCAGGAGGGAAGGGTTTGGCTACAAGGAGGCACAAGGGGACTTTTTTTGTGGAACTGCCCTGTATCTTGATTTTGGTGTTGGTTACATGACGGTATGCATCTTTCAAAACTCCGGGAACTGTACAATAAGAAGGATGCACTTTAGTGTATGTAAATGGTACCTCGATTAAAAAAAATGCATTCCTGTTCAGTGTAACCAGTGATGGAGGAGAAGCCAGGTGACAATGAGTTGAACCTTTATCTGCACCCAGGTAGATCTTATATCGGCAAGTACTTTACCTGTTAAATAATTTGTTGCCTTTGTCACAGATTTTAGGAGGCATCTAAAGTTCACAAACAATAGAAGGTAGAGGCCAGCCTCTTAGAACCAAGGAAATACAGTAGGTCATTTTGTGATTATATAATGTACACTTTATATTTAACCTCGTGAAGGCCAGTTTATCCAGACCTTTTCTGACTTGAGACTATGTTAGTCACCCCTCTCCAATCAGTGGCCCTGGAAGTGGGGTGAACATCCCTCCTATTTCTCCCCTGAGCAGAACGTGGAAATATCAGAAGGACAGTGCGCCTGGTGAGAGAGCAGGGACGTCCATCTACGTGGGTGGCTACTGGCCAGCATCCTCCTTCAGGAATTTCCAAATTGATGGAGAATAAACGCAGGGTCTGGGCTTCCATTTCCCAAAGCTTAGTGCCAGATGGAAGGCCTCCCTCGACATCTGAGACCCCAGCTTCAGCGGACATTGCCTGTGCACGTGTCCTGGCCCGGTCTTCTCTCCCTGCGGGCATGGAGACCCAGCCTCGCCCCCTAATCCAGCTGCACGAAAGCACAGTTGCTGCGCTAGGATGTATCTGCCTGGCTTCCTTCCACCAAGAAAACATTCACACCCCATGTTTCATTCTTAGAAAGTCCACAGACTTATACTTAGAAAATAGATTCCAGGAAATTATACCTTCAGAGGCCTCTTCCTTTTGAAGAGTTTCATGGAAGTCATTACCCTTTGTGATTAAAATCAATACCAACAAGGGGAGATGGACCACTGTGTGCCTGAAGGGATGCCCTGGGCAGAATATGGCATCACCTGTGGGTACCCGGCAGCTGAGCACAGCCTGAATCTAATTATGAGGAAACAAGGGAAAATGAAAATAAGGAACTGTATTATTCAAAGCTGTCAATATCGTAAAGTATAAAAAAAGGTTGAAGAAATATTTCAGAAAAAGGAGATCACAGACACATGACATCATGTGCTAAGGGAAAAAAAAGCCAAACCCTACAATCTTGAGTCAAATTATTGATAAAATCAGAACACTATTGGTAGATTAGAAAAAAATATTTTCAATGTTAAATTTACTGAGGTCGACAACTGTGCTATGGTTATGCAAAAAAAATCCCATTTCATAGAAAATACACACTGAAATATTTAGGAGTGAAGAGTCATGATGTGTGCAACTTAAATGGTTTAAGAAAGAAACAATTCTTGAAATTGTTTGCATTATTATTATTATTACAATTGGAATGATTATTACTGTCAAAATTATTAATAAAAAGCTTTTAGGGGCAGGGTGGGCCAGGCCAAAGAAAAAGCTTTTAAAAATGTAGTCCCGGGACATCCCTGGTGATACAGTGGTTAAGAATCCACCTGCCAATGCAGGGGACATGGGTTTGAGCCCTGGTCCAAGAAGATCCCACATGCCGTGGAGCCATTAAGCCCGTGTGCCACAACTACTGAGCCCGTGTGCCACAACTACTGAAGCCCGCGTGCCTAGAGCCCGTGCTCCGTAACAAGAGAAGCCACTGCAATGAGAAGCCCGTGCACCACAACGAAGAGTAGCCCCCGCTCGCCGCAACTAGAGAAAGCCCGCACGCAGCAACAAGGACACAACGCAGCTAAAATAAAATTAATTAATTAATTTGTAAATAAATAAAAACGTAGTCCCTAACGCAAGTCATTTTGAATGTACGTTTAACACTGTGAGCTTGGTTAATTGCAGAAGGTGGGGGGAGAAAGGATGAGAAATGTGATTTTCCGAGCCCTGCCAAAACCCTCCATAGACCGAATCCTTATGAAAATGTCAGTTCTAAATATCACTTGACAGATGCTTTTCTCAGGCTTTTTATTGGGACAGACATCAGGCATGCTGTCTCCTTCAGACAATGTCTTGGGTGGTGTAGGGAGGCCTCTGCAGATACACGCCTGCCAATCATTTCCAACACAACGGTCACCATTTTCCCCTAAATCCTTCAAAAAAGGACTGAATATTTACAGCTTTCATATTAACATTTTCCCTTTTCCACTGTTTGGCTTGGCCGAGACATTTTTGGCTGCATCAGTGGTCCTGCTGGTCAGTGACCCAGGCAGTCCCACGAGGTCCTCCTTCTACTTCTCTCAGTCATTTTATTGCTGCTCCTTGGGGCGGGGAGGCACATAGGTTATAAGGAGGAAAAAGAAATGAACCCCAGCCCTTTGCTTTCATCATGCATTTGTGGTCCTGATACATGTACTGTTAATAGGAGAAGAGGGGGACATTGGCTCCAAGTTTGGGGATATGGATAAAACCCTTACAGCAACTGCCAACTCTGAGAGGATTAACACACTAAAAGTGTAATTCTCATGCTTACAAAGTCACTATGGACTGGATGGCTCTCCTCCAGGTGGTGACTCAGGGATCCAGGCTCCCTGAGGTTGGTGTCATTGTCATCTCCACCATGTATCACACACAGGCGCCCTGCTGGGGAAGGAGGAGGGAGGGAGGGGTGCGGGGAGATATATGAGTGAATCCAGTAACTTACATCACTTTAGTCCACTTCACACAATCGACAATCAATCGTAGATGTCCACACTCCTCCACTGAGAGGTGAGGCCTCTTTCCCTCCCCTAGAACCTGGGTGGACCTTTATAACTAACATGGTGGACGTGCTAGTGACAGGTGACCGTGAGTGATTTCCAAGACCAGGTGATAAAGGCAACACAGCTTTGGCTTGGTTCACTCTCTGTGTCTCTGGGGCTCACCTTGGACTCTAGTCGCCATGTTGGGAGGAAGCCCAGGTCACATGCAGAGGCCCCATGTGTACGTTCCAGCTGAACAGTTCCCCAGCCACCAGCTGGGATCAACTGCTAGACCAGTCAGTGAACAAGCCATCCACTCTCCCTTGCTGAATTACTGACCTGCAAAAACAATAAGAAATAGTACCTTTTCGTTATTGTTTAAAGCTACTAAGTTTGGGGGTGACTTGTCACACAGCTGTAGGTAACTAGCACAGTGAGCATCTTGCTAGCCTCTGCCATGATTCTCTGGCTTCTCTGCATGATTACACATATGGATCCCCTGACTACCAGCTGAGAGAAAAATCACAAGCACTGTTACCACAACAACCATCACCGTTGTGTCCATCAGCGTCTTGGTAAGAAATGCAGATGTCACACTGAAAAAAGGAAATTGTGGAGAGTTTTGAAAAGGCGGTTACGGCAAGGATGAGGGAACTTATTAGTGACACATCCTAGGACTGACAACCACGTGGTGGGGGTAGTATTACCATCCTAGTCCTGAAGGGACAACATGGGGACCAGTTACTGGAATCTGGTAGGACATCTAACTATAGAGGACAGATCAGCTGGGAGGGATTGAGACTTTCAGAATGCAGCTACTGTCAATGGAGGCCCAGCAAAGAGAGAGAGCTGGGGGAACAAACACCCAAGCTCTCTCTCCTCTCACTTTGATTTTTCATTGATATTTCTACTAGGTGAAACCAACAGAAAACCAAAGGACAAGGAGGCTGGCTGAACCGTCTATAAGGTCGACCTCCCATGGGACAGAACAGGATGATAAAGTTAGAGAGTAGATCTGGAGGGGGAAATGCAAATGTCCTGTGCATAACCATCATCACCCCCTTTATTACCACCATTATCACCACCATCACCACCCCTGTCATCACCCCCATCACCACCATCATCACCACCACCATCATCACCATCGCCACCACCATTAGCATCACCACCACCTTCACCTTCATTATCATCTTTATAGAACCTCACATGTGCATACTCCTTCTGGATTTACAAAATAAGTCCCAATACTTTCTCTTGTATCACCCTCAGAAGGTCACCCTTGCAGTATCCCCTGCATCTAGCAGAGGGCATTGTACATAACTGGTGCTTAGTTCAATCCCACGAATACCTAGCACGTCCACTCTACTGAAGGATCTCAGCTAGAATCACAGGTACAGAGAGTAATGTTCCAAGAAGAATATGTTAAGTATCACGAGAGAGACACAAAGTGTTAGGAAGGATTGATCAGAGAAGACTCATGAGGTGGTGGTGCCCAAGATCGGGCCTCAGTAGGGGGTAGATTTCATCAGGTGTACTTGGAATGGAGAGTGCTTCCATGTCCTGGGAACCACATGAAGGAAAGGTTTAAAGGTGAGGAAATAGCGTGTTCTGGGAGCAGGAAATACTTCCGTTTTGCTGGAGCACGGAACTTACAGAGATAAGATGTAAGTTACAAAACTGAAAAAGTGAAGTGGTCATATTGGCATAAGTCTTAAAAGCCAAGAAGCACTTGTACTGAGCACATCAGGTACTGGGGAGTCAGTGATGGTTTTTGAACAGAGGAAGAAACATTCTAACTGCCCTTCCAGAGAACCTGGTTTACAGCCGTGGGGGGATATATGGAGTGAGTACTTACACGAGGTGGCGAGATTACCTGCAGGGCTGCCCTTGTTTCAGAAATGAGACTCTTGCTGTGGGAATGGGAGCAGAAATGGAAGAAAAGGGTGTGGCAGCACACTGACAGGGTGAGAACTGAGCGGGTAAGCAGTGGTTCTTCCACTGCTGGCACGGGGAACGCCACTGGTTCAACAGCACACGTTTTTATTGAGTGACTGCTCTGTCTAGGCACTGTTCCTGACTGTGGACACAGCAGGAAGCCAGATGGATAAGGCATCTCACTTCTCACCAGGATTCAGTAAGAGGAGGTGGTGCCATCGGCACAAGCAGGAAATTCAGGACTAAGAGATGGTGTACGGATTCTCCTCTTCCTGGAGTAGCCTTCCTCTCCTCTCCTTTGCCTAGAAAACTCCTATACATCCTTCAAAACCACCTTGAACTCCCCAACAATTTAAACACCTGTCTCTGATTCTTTCACTGTACTTTTCTCGGTCCTTTGAAATCTCCCTTCACAAACAACTAGGATTTCAAGGGTTTAAGAAAAGCATTTATAATTACAACAGATTGTGAAAAGTCCCTTGGAAGTTGTGTTAAAACTATTTGGTCAAACCATTAGCAATGCCGCATCGGTAAGTCAAAATCAGTAAAATAACAGCAAGTTATTATTGGTCCTGACAGTTTGGAAACAAAGAGGACTCTGCACACGTGCCCTGCCCACCCCCTGCATCCTTACCCCACCCCACCCCATGCATCCGGGGGGGTGTGATGCTGCTAAATGACCCACATGCAGTCCCTGGGCTGTCAGGGCCAGGCTCGGCCTCCAGTCCTCCTAAGGCAGCAGATGGGTCCAGGGCCCGGCCTTTGAAGTCAAGCTGACTCAATCTGGAATTGAGGCTTTTCCACTTAAACCGCAATATATAGATATATAGATAAGTAAAATATATAGATACATAGATATACAGATAAATAAAATGTACACATCTAATTTGTTTCAAATAAATCATACTGCCACTTTAGCTATGAATTTGAATAAAGATAAATTAAGACAGATAATTGAACTGACGTAATGTGTGAATATGTATATATATTATGTAGCTTTTATAGCAAGAGTATTAATTTTTACTGAACCTCAACTGTGTGCCAGACAAGATTCTAAGGGCACCATCTTTTTAGCTAAGTGAGACTAAGTGAGTCATCCCAGCACCCTTACAAGGGAGATGTTGATATCCTGATTGTATACTATATGAAATAGATTCAGAGATGTTAAGGAAATGCTCAAGGTCACACAGCATGGTACAGAACTTGAAATTAGTTGGGTTTTTTTTTCTTTCCTCCATGTTATGGGTTGAACTGTGTTCCCCGGAAAAAGATATGCTGAAATCCTAAGCACCAGAACCGCAGAATGTGACTTTGCTTGGAAATTGGGACTTTACAAAGATAAGTTAAAATGAGGTCATTAGGGTGAGCCCTGATCCATAAGATTGGTGTCCTTCTAGAAAGGGGGAATTAGGACACAGAGACAGACATGCACAGAGGGGGCACAGTGGAAAGGGATGGAGACACAAGGAGAGAACCCCACGAAGGCTGGAGTGACGGGTCTACAAGCCAGAGACTGAGGGCAAACCATGGGAAGCCAGGAGGGAGGCACGGAGCAGATTCTCACCCACAGCCTCGGAAGGAGCCTTGATCTCACACTTCCAGCCTCCAGACTGTGACACGATAAATAGATGCTCCTTTAAGCCATCTGGTACATAGAACGTTGTCTCAGCAGCCCTAGGAAATTAGTCCACTCTGCTTCCAAAGATGTTGTTCTTACCCATCTATTACACCTGGCCCAACACAATGTGGTGACACGTGGGGCTGAATTCACATCCCATGGGTGTTTCTGTCTCTTGACCGAGTTATTCCCAGGGAATAACATCACGTTTACCGGGAGGAGGGATACATTAGGAGTTTGGGATTAACAGAAACACACTACTATACATAAAATAGATAACCAACAAGGATCTACTGTACAGCACAGGGAACTCTATACAATCTCTTGTAATAACCTATATGGGAAAAGAATCTGAAAAAGAGTATATACACACATGTATATAACTAACTGAATCACTTTGCTGTACACCTGAAACTAGCATAACATTGTAAATCAACTATACTTTAATAAGATTTTTAAAAAATGTATATATCACGTTTTACCCTTGTGCTCCCTGCTTATAGAACAGTGGGTGATACAAGGCAAGTGTACAAATATGTTTTATAAGTGAAAAAAATCTTTTGAGTAGTGAAATTTTGCTTTGAATTTTAATGTGTAAAACACGTACCAAGCAAGTTTAGCAATTACCTTTCAGAGCATATTTGCAAAGGGAAAAGGCAGCTTAAGTCAGCTGTGTTGGGGAAACGGGGGTGATTGTGTGTGATGACCCACACATCTTCCTGCACCACCCGACCCGCCCTCCCTGTGACCCCCCCATACCCACCCCAAGTTACTTAGGTCAGCGAGGGCCACCATCTAGAAAGTTCCAGCCTATGTAAACCAAAGGTATGCCGCAGTCAGCAGTATTTTTAAAACCAAGAAATACAAGTACACTTACTGGGAAAAATGGGAGAGCATATGAAAGTGGGCAATTCTCAGAAATCTGCCGATGGGCACACAGCCCATGACTGACAGGACTGGGCTGGGCTTGAGGCTGGTGGTCGGGGGGGAGGTCACAGGCGATTACTTTACTCAGCAATCCTTAGTGGACACTTTCTGTTCACAACTATATGCTGAGGACTGCGAGGCGTGAGGAAGGAAGACAGCCTCAACCTTAAAATTCTCATATTCTCATGCAAGAGAGAAAAAACCTATACATGCATTTAACACAGTAGTTGTCACGAGCTCAAACCGCCCAGCACAGTGCCCCCAGGTTTACCCAGCCAGGGTGGGCATCTGAGTTGGGTTTATCTCCATTCTACAATGGGCAGGATAAACAACAAGGTCCTGCTGTACAGCACAGAGGACTATACACAGTATCCTGTGATAAACCATAATAGAAAAGAATAGTTTTTGGGTTTTTTGCGGTACGCGGGCCTCTCACTGTTGTGGCCTCTCCCGTTGCGGAGCACAGGCTCCGGACACGCAGGCTCAGCGGCCATGGCTCACGGGCCCAGCCGCTCCGCGACATGTGGGATCCTCCCGAACCGGGGCACGAACCCGTGTCCCCTGCATCGGCAGGCGGATTCTCAACCACTGCGCCACCAGGGAAGCCCGGGAAAGAATAGTTTAAAAAGAATGTGTATATGTATGTATAACTGAATCACTTTGCTGTATAGCAGAAATTAACACAATATTGTAGATCAACTATACTTCAATAAATAAATAAATAATTTAAAAATGGGCAGGAGAGGTGAACCCTCACACCTGGAGGAATGGCCAGCCCAGAGGCAGGTTCCCACCACGTGCCCTTCTCTGGGGCACACTGACGATGCCAGACAATGCAGTTCCCGTCTGTGGCTTCCAG